TTTTGTCAAAAAAATACTTAACGTAATAATTATCCTTCTCCCACCTCTTCCAAAAAAGAAAACATCAATTAAGCATTTTTTTAAAAATAATGGATTCACCTGGTTATTGATTCTTTGTATTTTCAACATCAGAGATGAAAAAGTAAAGTAGAGAATACAAACGGATATCGCAGAAGCCGCGGAAGTCTGCACTGCGGCCGAATGCACCGAAAGCAGCATTACCATCCGGTGTCTGACGACGATAACTGACTACCAGACAGCAGGGTAGAAATGTACTATGGATCAGCGAATAAGTTGGACAAGTTTTTAGCAGTTCCTATTTATGTTTGTTTGCCTGACTTATAAGGCTGGTTCCATTATGAGTGGCCATTAAAATATTAATTGAGTGGAACATATGCGTACATTTACATTCATATTGTTGAACATTGATTTTTGTCTATAAAACTTTCTTTTTTTATGCTACAATAAAAGTATAGTTTGAAAATCAAAGAAAAAAAATTGAAATAATTTTGCTTTGTTCTTGTCGTCTAAAACAAAAATTGTTATTCAGTTACAATGTTAATTTTGCTGCAAAGTTATTTATTCTGAAGAAACGCAAAACTGTTTTTCGAATTAAACTGAAGTACTAAAAACTGCTTAAGCGATGAAAAAAATTAGCATTAATAGCAACATAAGTAAATTGTGAAAGGATTTGCTAATGATCTATGATAATTGGTAAATAGCTGGTTTACCAATTTTTTTTTTTAAAAAGAAAAGATTGTTGTTTAAGAGGTATCTGGAGTGAGTAAACTAAGTGAGCAGACAAGAGGACATAAAATACTAATCCAAATTAAACGCTTTTTCTTTGAACCCCTCTATTTAACAGCATTTGTTCGCTACTAAATTCTCAGGCAGTACACTTATTCACTGAGTCAATGGTAGCGTGAAAAAAATTTCAAAATAATGGTAAAAAAGAAGCAATTTGTTTTGAAAAACTTTTTTATTTTATTGCAAATACATATACCCTAGTTTAGATTTCAGCGTATAGTTGTCAAAATCTGTTCTGCGTAACACATTTGTCGACAAATAAGCGCAGTTCTCTGTGTGTACGGTACTTTTTGCCGTGGTGTCTTCAACAAGTCTTACACTGATGTATGCTTATAAGAAAATGAAAGCAACAGTAGCTGTGGCAGTGGCAAAAATAACAAGACCAATGGCGACGACAACAAGGACGACAAAAAAACAGGAATGACAGCAAAAAATTGTGGTCAATTGTTTTTGAGTAGTTTTCTTGCATCATCAGCCAAAATCCTGAACATCGCTCATTCAACAGGTTTCAGTCTAAAAACGGCGAGTGTTGTTGTTTTTGAAGTCTTATTTGAAGAGGTCCACTCAGCAATGAAAAAAAGCGAAATGAAACAGAAGAACCTATTATGCGTTATTTTTTTCAAAAGTTTTATGTAGCACATTAAAGAAAACTTTTTACTTTTTTTAATGTTTTTGTTTCCTTTTCCTATTCTTTTTCTTCAGTGAGAATACTTCGATTTTGTCGACTTTTCAAACAAATTAATGCAAGAAAATCATTTTTTTACATTGAAAATGCTTGAAATTCTCTGGAATTGTTTGGACTGCTGAGTATTGCTGCAAGGGGGGAGAAAAATGAAAAAATTTTATGACCCGTTAGCCGTTATTATTGTTTGGTATTGTTGCAACTGTTGAACATCAATAAAGTTCGGTGAAGTTAATCAGTTTAACCGGTTAAAAAATGGTCCTTTTTATTCAGCAAGTTTCAATAAATATAATCAATAGAAAATAACAACAAGAAAAACAAGAGACAGTTATGATACACAGATAAACGTAATTATTGGCGATGACCAAGTTTTGATTCTTTTTTTCATGAGATCAGTAAAAGAATAAATAATAATGGTCAGAAACAAAACTGAAACAACTGAAAAGCAATATAATAATTCTTAAGTATATTTGAATACTATACATTTAAAGAACAATTAAATCAGTAGAGATTTGGTTTTGAAAACAATAAAATAAAATACAGAAAAACCAGGATATGTATCTGGGAACTGGTGCACTATCATCTTGTAGCGGTTCCTCTTCATAATACAGGGAAACGTTTTCACAATGTTGCTTTATCTCATATTTTTCTCCATCAATTAGCAGGTCACCATAAAAACAAAGCTCCTCATCACATCGTACATCAACATTTTTTATCAAGTCTTTTTGACAAAAACTATAATGCCGTGAAGAAGAACATAAAAGGCTTGGTAAATCAGTATTCAGTGTTGAAACCGGATTGGAATCATCTAACCAAACTTCAGTGTTGTTATCCAAATGTTCACAGGGGGCTGGTACTGTTGCCAAAATGTTATAACCAGAATAATTTTCTCCCCGTTCAATTGTCACCGAAGGTAAGCCGTTGTCGTTTGCTCTTCCATTGTGGTCGTAGAAGTTTTGAGAGGAAAATCGCAAGAAAATCAGAGCATTGTCGGTGGACGATGGACCTGCTTCAGTGTCAGCGTTGAGCGCCAGCTCAGGTTGTAGCACAAAACGTTTCTGTTCGTGAAATCGAAAAGGTGATAACAAGGTGTACTGGTAGATGACAGCGTACCATTTATCCGGTTCCAAAGAATCTAGTGAATATATGGGATCCGGATGTTCCTCAGTGCTAAACAGGAAAAAAAGCAATTTCTGTTGTACTTCAATAAATTAACAGAAAAATTATTTTTTTTTGCAGATTTAACTTTTAAATAGCTTCTTTTTACAAGTATCTTTTTCCGGTCAAACAACTTACTTGTACTCAGCATACAGATCACCGTCTGAGGAGGGGTAACCAATGACAGTTGCATTAATTCTAATTTCAGCTTTATCAATTCCATCAGGATTTTTTGGATCTACATACTTAGTGCTGATTGCAAGAGATCCAGCTGTAACCTTATAATCTTGATAAACACGAATTGGAGCTGAAACATTTACGGGCGGAATTGAATCGCATACTCTGTTTTCGTGATATGAAACGAACTGTTGCCCAAATTTGTTGCTCACCAGCGTTTGTTCCCAACATATGCTGAGAATGTAAAGGAAAAGTGTTAGAAGCACTGACAAGAATTTTTTGGACAAATTTGCGAAAAGCGCTTGTGAAGTGTAATTGAAAGCGTTAGAGGAAATTGAGGCTTTACAAGAAGCGTGTAATCTATAAATAAAAAAACTGATCTACGATTTTCAGCTTGTAACAATGACCACATTGTTGATCTATTCAATGGTTACGCAACAGCGTTGCAAACAATGTAACGAAAAAAGAAATTACACTGATTGCTATGCATTTGTCAAATTAGTGATAGTCGTATTTTTTTAAACCTGTCTAGTTGCTATGAAATGTTTAGCAAACGTAAATAGTTATTACAAATGAAGTTGTCTATTGATTAACAATTGGCTAATTAAGTGGACAGAACAACTCAACTTGTGAAACCAGCAGTTAGAGTAGTAATTTTAGAAAAAAAA